TATATATATATATATATATATATGTGAATCAATCAATTTGTAACATTTAACTTAAAAAGTGCTAGCAAATGAATGTGGCTAATTACTATTACAAAACTATAATTGGAAATTTGCCATCGGCTTCTGGGGCAGGGAGGAGCAGCAGCTGCCAGAGCCCCCTCCTCTGGTGCACCACTCCACTGCCTTATAATTAGAGCCCCGAACTTCATGCACTAAAAAAGTTAAAAATATGTATGCAACCATGTCCTTAAAATTGGCGGTATATGCACTTAAAAACAGCCAGTGCATGCGCTCAAAACTAAGAATAAGCGTTAAACAAAAATATAGTCCGCAACATATTATATAATCTTCATTTTAAACTGCAGAACAAAACGTGTATAATAATAATAATAATAATAATAATAATAATAATAATAATAATAATAATAATTTTAAACATAATAAACAAAAAATGTTAAGCGACCATATAGCAAATAAATATTTAATTATGTAAACTAAAAGTGGACTACTTTAGTTTTATTTCTGGCGAGAGGTAACGTTATTTACATGTTCCTTCGATACGCGCAATCAGTAAAAATATGCAATTGCATGAAGTTCTGCGATCTACTTATAACATTTCATTTATTTCCTTAAACATTACGAATGGGCATTCTTAAATTCACTTAAATTCTGATCGTGATATTCGTATATACTGAGTTTCCACCATTTGACCTAAACTGATCTCAGCCACTATATTGCGCATTGCCGAAATTCCGTAGTGCATCTTATTTTCAGCTGAACAGGAGGAGAAATTAGGTAGGCACTGCCAACCAGCTGAAGAAAAATACAAATAACAGATCAATATAAAGTAGTAAAACGTATATGAAGAGTAAGGGAAACATAATGGTAATCCAAACTGAGTGTAAACTGGGGTATAGCTTTGAGAAAGTATATTTTCTGCTAGTTACTAAAGAGAGAAAACAACTCTGTACTGTCAACTATTGTACTTCCATAAAAAAGCTACATATATGTCAATTTGAGTTATGCCCCCATACCCTTCATAATTTCTTATAACATTATTCAATTGAGAGTTTGCGTCCAATGTGGAAGATTGAAGTAGCACTTAGTCATCTCCAAATCAGTACTTATTGGATAAACCGGTCAACAACCTAAAGAGAGACAGGTCCTGTCTTTCTATTGTCAGGCTTAATACAGTAGAATCCGCGTAATTTGAACCTTAGAAATCCAAAATTTCAGATAATTCGAACAAAATCGGGATTGATAGGAAATAAACAAAATACATACAATGCTTATTTGAAGTATAAAGAAAGGATTTTATAATTACTGTAAAACTGAAGTATAGAAATAAGTTGTCGAAATTAATCGTTTATTGCACTGATTACTACGGTGTACTCCATCACTTGTTTAGGTAGCAGTAATTTTCACTTAGAGGAACTTGCAAAATTGGTAATCTTTTGCCATAAGGAATTGAAACTGCTTTTTGATGCAACGTGACGATGCAATCGCTAAGATACGTAGCAATTCTCACATCGCACGCTACGTTGTCTTGTCTTAAAATCCTATAGATGTATTTGTATATGTACGCATTTTTTTTTCGGAAAATCCGAACATTTCGGAATCTAAATAGGTCACACGCCCAATTATTTCGGATTACCGGGGTTATTCTGAATAAGTAACGAAATTCTGAAACGTTATCTGAAATAACGGAAGACCCTCCTTATGGACGAAAAACACAAACTCTGAACTAAACTCTGAGAATAACTGAGAGAACTGATAATAACTTGAACTCTGAGATAAACATATCTGTGTTTGTCACCCGGGCGCATTTCAAGAGGGAGTTGTATGCCACTACTCTCCAGTGTTCTGAATGGTAGTTGTGTTATACGAGTATTTATATTTTTACGCAATGCATTATTTTTATTCAATCTAAAAACTTTATTTTATTTAAGGTGTTAACTACAAAATAATTATTTGGAAAATTCCTGCCGAGCCTTCTGTTCACCCGTTTGATTTTATATTGATTCGCCGTTGTTTGCAACCACGCACTACAGAACGCAGCAAAAGACTTGATGAAGTGAGTAAAGGGAAGCTAACTTCTACGAGAATCCCATAGTAGGTCAAGTTGAATAGATATTACTTATTGACTTGGGTAAACCTGCGCGTCTGCTACTGAGTCAAGAGTCGAAAACAAATACACTTTCGACCCTTGCGATTTAGTTGGCTGACCCTTGTCCGCAGAGAACCGTTTTTTCAGCCACTGTGTGCCGGCGGCGGTGTGTGGAAGAATGCAAAACTCGCGAGGCGCGGCGCGGCTGGAAAAACGCGGGGGGTACAGAAGGCTGGAGGGCGGAGGGCGGAGGGCGAGCGGCGGGCATTCCGGTTGCTGCCGCTCGGAGGGCGTCCGGAGGTCGGAGGGGATCTTTCTTGCCAGCTGCTGCCTCCTGCCCGCCTGCGCGCTCGTTCGCAGAGAGGGGCAAAGAGCGGACTTCTTGGGGTTCGTTACGCAGCTTCGAGTCGTCGTTAGTAGCTGCCTATCACGCACGTCGACGTGTGTGGCTGTCGCTGCCAGCTTGCCTGCGTGTGAGTGCGTACATGTGTGTGTATGTGAACATGTGCCTGTCTGTGAAGAGGAGCGCGGAGCCTGTCAGTAAAAATATGTTTGGTAATTCATTGCTCCTGAGATGCGAGTGCACTCCCAAGAATGTGGATGTGTGTGTTTTTGTCGATTCGTATCGATGCGCAAGAAGCGCGAATCGATAGCGACGATCGGCGGTGGAGCTCCTGGTTGTCGAAAACTGTGGGACGTCAGCAACCAACCGGCAGAAAATCTTTAAGGATGTTCATGTCAAACGTATGTAAACTTTCGATCAAGGGAACGATGAACTTGCTGGGATCACCTGGCTTTTTCAATGACCTAATTCTGTTGTTAGTTTTGTGAAGATATTCTCCAAAAGTGATCCTGAAAATCTAATGCCTTTAATCACTTGTGGGAATATTACATATAAAATAAAAATGGAAAGTCTTTCGAAAACTATATTTTACTCCTGTTATGATAATCAAATAATTAATGATTTTAACTTAATAAGTTAATGCGAATTTACATACTTATGTTTCTAAAAGTAGACGCAATGTTTCTGGACATTTTCCTTCACTTTGTAATTCGTAATATGCGTATACATCATGTAAATGTGTAGCTCATGTCTGTTAGCTGTCCTGAGAAACCTGCGTGACATTTCATTACCTTCTCCATAACGGTGTCAACCTACCGCAACAAGGAAACATTCTATCTTCCATTTCAAAGTATAGTATTTGCTATTAAAATGGTTCGTTGAATCAGCGTCGCTGTTTCTAGCATTGCTGTGTTTGTGATCTTTAGTGTCACACAGTAGTCATTCCAGGCTCATTATTTGAATTTATCACCCTGTGGTCATTCGGGATGACAACCGACGTTTTTTCCCCTGCTATATCCATGTTCACAATGGTTATGGGGGCTATTTCGTGTTTGTTGTTTATTATATTTGCCTTGCCCCCGGTACTACAACCATTGCAGATCACGATCCCATGGAGGTGTCTCTGATGATCGGAATACTGCAATAATGTCAACGCAGTTCTTGTAAATGAGCCGGTTGAAAGATATATATGTTCCCTACCACGTTTTATATTTAAGAACCCTTCCTGGCTTAAAGCCTACCCGTGGCCAGCTTAAAGGGAAAGAACACATCCGACGGAAAGGTTGGATAAAATTACCCGTATTATTTGCTTTGAAATAACTGACCACCGCACGGCGGAAACATTGACTCAAGCAAATTTCGCGCGTGCGCGGGTGTTCTCTCTTCCAACGAAGTTGTTTGACCTTGGCCTTGAGGAGGTTGCCTCCGCCTCCGCTCCACCTCCGCCGCTGCGACGGCTGTTGCTGCATTTGGAGGGGAATTGAGAGAACGAGAGGGAAAAGAAGGGGAAGGGTTGGTGCGCGCGAGGGGGGAGAAGAGAGAGGGGCGGCGCGGCGCGGCAGTTTATAAAGGGGAACACTCGTCGCGTTACGTCACGACCGCCAGTGGGGCAGGCGGCGCGCCGGCGGCGTCTGCTCCCGCCGCGAGACGCCCGACCCGCCCGCCGCTTCGGGCCGGCAGTTGGCTGCGGCGCTGTGCGCGGGCCACGTTGAGAGGGAGGTGGCGCGAGCTGCGTCTGCTGACACACAGACACCTGCTCGGCGCTTAAAATTCACGACGCGACCGTCGCTTGTTTTTTATTTTCTCCCTGCGTTTGTTTTTGTTCGCGGGCCTTCGAGGAGGTGACCGCCGTGTTGTTTTGGTTCCCTTCGCTGACGCCAATAGCAATGGGACACGTTCAAAACTGAAGATACGGAATGTTTTGTTAGGAATTGTTGGAAATAAACTTTTCATTTTTTGAAGAGATATAATACAATAATTTTGTTCATCAATTGTTTGCATTACGGAGGTTCATATTCCCAAACTCCTTCGGGTCAACGCATAAAACAAACGACAGTACTGCCCAATGCATATTTATAATACCTGACACCATTTGAGGATGAATTATATTATTATTATTATTATTATTATTATTATTATTATTATTATTATTATTGTTATTATTATTATGTTTTCATTCCCACGAATATAAGTTATCTGTCAATTGTTCATAAATTTGTCTACTGAATTTTTAAAGTATTCTTTTTGCTGGTTTCGAAAAAATGCATTATTTCTAAGAAAAGAAAAGAAAAGAAAACATCGTTTTCTATTGTATTCCGTTTCATGTACTATCATTGTAGGGCAATTGCATGTTACCACCGCACGGGTTGTCTCGTATCAGTAATAAACTCAGTCCGACGAAACATTTAATAAACCGATGACCAATGATTGATTACTTCTCAATTGTAAACGCAAATGTAAAACTTCTCAATGATCGGTCACACACCCACTATAATGAAGATCCTTCAGAATGACTAACATTATGCAACACACTACGGGTATCTAAATGAGAGAATTATATTATGAGAGTTGAAAAATAAATAAAACAAAGGTTACAACTTATGTTATGTTACTAAGAATCATATACGGATATAAAGTACGGAAATATGCTTTTCAATCTCTTGCTTTTCTAGGCTATTTCATAGTAATATTTTCAATAAAACAGAGACGTCAATGTGTGAATTGTTTACCGGGCTGCCACGCAGTGGTCTAAGTAATACTTCCAGACGTATCCCGCCGCTGTTGAAGTCTGCCGCAGTTTCGACGAATCGTCCGGGACCAGCGGAGGTGACTTAGGGCATCAACTGATGTCACTGCAGTACTTCTTACCGGGAGGCTCTAGAGTTCAAGTTCCGACGGTGGCAGGAGTTTCGACACTAGCTAGAAAGCTAGAACGAATTCAGCCGCTGTCTGGAGGGGAATTCTAGCAGCCGCTTGTTCTGATCGGTACTTTTCCCTAGCTTCTCTGATCATCACCAGGCAAATGCCGAAGCAGTGTCCTAACAAACGAACAAGCACCGTGCGCGATTTTCCCTTCCTGTTCCTTGCCATATTTTCTCCTCTTACACACACACGCACTCACGTGCTACTACACTACCCTATCACGCTTGTCGGGAGACCAATCTGGAGCGTAGACTGAAGAGCTTGTCCCGGCTGGTAACGCTCTTCCGTTGTCTTGACCTGACGAAACCGCTCACTTTGCGCGGCACTTTTAGGAAAGCTAGTATTAAGATGTCTGTTCAGGAAATTATGTTTCACAGTCATGATACATCCCAATTCATGAAATGCTGATGAAAATTTCATAGTCTGCAATATTTTTATCACCAAGAAAGTTTTCTTTACCGTCGTAAAATACTGCATACATCCCTTTTCTCGCTGTTCATCTTTCGGATAAATACATTATCTCGTGCAAGTTCTGAATACTATCAAACATCTCTGCCTTTATCTTCACACGGGACAAAGCAGAATGAGCCTAGACTATATCATGTTAGAAGCCTGTATTTAATTTGTTAACAAACGCTTCTATGAAACCCAGTTTAATATAAATAAGAGTAAATGTGTTTTCATTTTAAGGATCTGACAAATTATCTATTTGTGCTCTTGGTATCAGTGTGTCAGTAACAGGTTTTATTGACCTCCTGACATAAATATATGAAATAACCAACGAAAACAGACGCGCAGACATTGCCATTAGGTACACCTATTTTATTAATTAAATAAACAGGCTGAAATAAAACTGTCTACAAATACCGGTCGGCAATTTTATTATTTGGACTGAACAACTCTATCCCGTAGTCCTTGAAATGACCTGTGACAACAAACGAATTGTCCTCAGCAAAATAATCATATTCCTTCCACTTCCCAAAGAACGAACGTTCACGATGCGTTTCAATAACAGACCCCTCGCTATTTAGAGACTAACACTCCATATGCGAGTTGGAGGGACTCCTTCAATGGAACGTACAGAGGTCAAATTGGGTTCCTTGCTAAGAAGGCGAGAATTTAAAAAAAAAAACTTTATTGAAGAATTTTCATCCGCTTCTGAAAATATTTCTTTAGTTTTAACACTCGCCTCCGCCTTTTGGTCGCTTTCCATTTTTTTTTTTTGGATGGAGTAATTCCTTCAAGAACGTTAACTGGTAGAAAGTGGTGCTTGTTCAGAGAGAATAGAAGGCAAAATTGCTTAAGTGATGCTAAGAAGTCAATTTGGCGGCAAAGGCTGGAATGCAGAAGTTCGAATTGTATGAAAACTAGAGCATAGAAAACAAATTAGATTCAGATATCACTTTTAAGATTTGGAATCATCAAGTCAAAAATATTAAGAATCGGTAAAATATCTCGTGCAACTGAAATTTCGAAAACAATTTTCTACCAATGTTATTCATTAAAGAAATATTTCCTACTGCCATTACAGCAGATGATTTTTAAATAATATCAAAACTGTAACGATGTTTTCGGATGAACGTCCATTGAAAGTTCTCTAGCGGCCTACCACAGTGTCTTTCCCGGATTCAAATTTAATAGGCTTAAGAAATATAATACAGTAACATTATCCGAGTTAATATCAGAGTCCATTATTGATAAGCTTTAATAATACTTCTTTCTCGTTAATATTTGTTTGCTTATGTTGTACAAGCTTCTCTAACTGTGTAAACTGAAATATTCAATTTTTTGTGATAAATCACGTGGTAATCACTTTACAGACGAGAGAGCAAAAAAGTAACAAACAGTCACACAAAAAACTTTTATTTTGGAAAATATTAAAAGTGTTTTTTTAGTCTTCTAAAATTTCCTATTGATATCTTGCATGCAATAATAGGATAATTAGTGTGTGACTGTCAGTACTTCGCTCATGGATATACTGTACACCTTCCAGACCACCGTTTCGAGAAAGCGAGGTTACTGGAACTACGACGCGTCTAGGTCTGTTGGTGGTGAATTGGCTTCTTTTTCGAATCATTCCAATGTACTTTAAAAGAATGAAATTAATTATGTAATATAAAAATGCTTTAAAGTGTTAAAAAAGAGGAAGACGCCATAGTAAAGCCTATTTTTGTAGTGAATCAGAAATTATGAAGTTCTGTTGTAGTACAGTTTTATACCACTTGCTTAGCGTGTGACTATATGCTGAAATATAATCGTAGATAAAACACAACCATTTCATGAAATAAAG